CGGCCGGGCCTGCGCGGGCCCGCGATGGGCTCCGCGGGCCGGCGGCGCGGGGCTGGCGGCGGAGGACACGTGGCGGCGGCGGAGTGGATGGGGGAGCGGGGCGTACGTGTCCGGCACGGTGCGGACGCGTCCGGCGGCTGAGAGGGAGAGAGGCTAGGGTTAGACCAGGATTTTGGGGGAGATGCACATGTTTATAGATAGAGGGAGCTAGGAGAGTCCAAATGAAGAGCAGTGTTCGGCCATGCGATCGTGATCGAATGACCGAGAGAATGGAGGGGGTTTGGATGGGTTATGGGCCACTTTGAAGGGGTGTTGGGCTGCAAAGAGAAAGGGGCTTTTGCGGTTACCCGGTTAACCGTTGGAGTATCAAACGACCTCCAAATGGCACGAAACTTGACAGGCGGTCTACCGATGCTATACCAAGGTCACTTGGCAAACCTCGGTCCATTCCGAGAATGTTTAACACCCGCACATGAAAAGAGGCAAAAGGGGGCGCCGGAGGACATAGGAGTGCCGGATTGCAAAACGGACAACGGGGAAAATGCTCGGATGCATGAGATGAACACATATGCAAAATGAGATGCACATGATGACATGGCAAAATGCAACACGCAAGCAAATGACATGGCAACGACAACGAATATCTGGCGGACACCTGGCGCATCGAATCCAGGGCGTTACAAGGTCCCCCCCATAGGTCCGAATTGGACTAGGGGAAGGGGGCGCCCCCCTGCCCTTTCCTACTCCCTCTCTCCTCCCTTCTCTCCTACTCCTAAAAGGGAAAGGATTCCTACTAGGACTTGGAAGTCCTAGTACGACTCCATACACTTGGCGCGCCCCAGGGGGCCGACCTCTCTCCCTCCCTCCTTTATATACGGGGGCAGGGGGCATCCTAAAGACACACAAGTTTCTCTTAACCATGTGCGGGTGCACCCCTCCACAGTTACACACCTCGATCATACCATCGTAGAGCTTAGGCGAAGCCCTGCGCTGGTAGCATCATCATCACCGTCACCAGACCGTCGTGGTGGCGGAACTCACCCTCGTCCTCAACTGGATCAAGAGCACGAGAGACGTCATCGAGCTAAACGTCTGCTGAACGCGGAGGTGCCGTATGTTCGGTACTTGGATCGGTTGGATCACGAATACGTTCGACTACATCAACCGCGTTATTTAAATGCTTTCGCTTTCGGTCTACGAGGGTACGTGGATACACTCTTCCCTCTCGTTGCTATGCATCTCCTAGATAGATCTTGCGTGATCGTAGGATTTTTTTTGAAATTACCGCGTTCCCCAACAGATACGTCTCCATTGTATCTACTTTTCCAAACACTTTTGCTCTTATTTTGGACTTTGATTTGCATGATTTGAATGAAACTAACCCGCATTAACGCTGTTTTCAGCAGAAGTACCATGGTGTTGTTTTTTTGTGCAGAAATAGAAGTCCTCGAAATCAGATGAATCTTTCTAGAGATTTTTTTATGGAATATATGAAAAATACTGGAACGAAGATCCACCGGAGGGGGCCACCTATTGCTCACAAGGCAATAAGGCGTGCGCTATTACCTTGTGGGGCCCATGAGGCTTCACTAATCCTAATCTCAACTCCATAAATATCGTCTTCTCGACAAAAATAAAAGAAGAAGTTTCATCGCATTCTACTATATGGAGCCGCCGCCACCTCTTGTTCTTCATTGGGAGGGCTGATCTGGAGTCCGTTCGGGGCTCTGGAGTGGAGGATTCGTCGCCATCATTATCACCAACCCTTCTCCATCAACAACTTCATGATGCTCACCACCGGAAGTGAGTAATTCCTTCGTAGACTTGCTGGACGGTGATGGAGTTGGATGAGATTTGTAGAATTGAGTCAATTTGTCAGGGCTTGATCGCTAGTATCCACTATGTTCTGAGATTGACGTTGCCATGACTTTGGTGTGCTTAGTGCTTGTCACTAGGGCCCGAGTGACATGGTTTTGGATCTCAACCATCTATGTTTTCATGAATATATTTGAGTTCTTGATCCTATCTGCTAGTTATACGGACTTGTTATTGTTCTGATCTGTAGACCCCTAAGTGACAATAGTTGGAATACTCTCCGGAATTCGAGGAGTTCATATATTCATCATGTGTTAATGCTTTGTTCTGGTTCTCTATTAAAATGAGGCATTAATATCCCTTAGTTTCTTTGTGGACCCCGCCCCATGGGAGGACAAAAGATGTCATGCAAGTTGTTATTATAAGCATGTATGACTATATATGCAATACATGCCTACATTATATTGATGAATTGGAGTTATTCTGTATCCCTCTAGGTTATGACTGTTATATGATGAATGTCACCCAACACAAGTATTCATCGCTAATTCAATGCCTAAGCTTTTTTGCATATTGATTTTTTGTTAAGTTACTCTCGTTGTTGCTGTTGTTACAATCACTACAAAATTGCTACTGTTACTGTTACCGCTACTATTGCTACTATTACTATTGTTACCATACTACTGTGCTACTAAACACTTAGCTGCAGATATTTAGTTCTCTATGGGTGGTTAAATTGACAACTCAACTGCTAATACTCACATATACTAGTAGAACGCCCGTGCGTTGCTACGGGCTATAATGCATATATATATATATTGGAGTAACTCAACAACAATGTCATGTAAACCTCCCCTCTCTCCGCTCTTCCTCTCTCTATATATCTCCATCTCTCCCTTCCTCCGCTCACCCTTCATCTCACTCTCTCTTACTCCTTGTAGCCGCCAGAGGGGATAGACATGGATGTCCAGCGTGTTGCATGGGTAGAGTTGGGGGATACAAGAAGAATAGAGGACTCCATAAAGATTCCCCGCTAAATTTTTTTGTACCCAGCACCATCCTATTTTTTATTTTAACTGATATATCCAAATTTTCTATATTTTATAAAATGACATTAACAACGCTTCTTCATCTCAAAATGGACAGCAACTGCATCAGCATTATCAGCCATCACATCCAATCCCATCTCTGCCTCTCTCTACCATGCACCTGCGACTGCGCCCACCACCTCACCCCGCTACTCAATGCTATTATGTGTTCACAGTATGATCAGACATAAACTAAACATCGTGACTTGTAAAATACTCGCCCATTAAGAAATGAAATATGCCTACTAAATAGTTTTTCTTTAGTTTACATTAGTGAGGCCTCACATGAATATTGCTTTGTATCAACAAAAACTCCATCATACAATAATTAAGGGAGGTAGGCTACATGCTTGTATTTCACCTCAGAAAGGATTAAAGAATCGTCTTCAACATAAATGCTACCTACCAAATAAAAGACATGATACCCGCAAAATAAAAGACATGCTGAAGAGGAAGGTTGTAGTTACATATGATGCCATCTAATACTTGTATATGACCATGATGTAGTAAACGCTCTACAATGTTGAGCTCATTTTTGACGTTGAACTTGTTGATATCATCCCGCAGATGTTACACCATTCACAAATGCAAGAAAAGCTTAAGGCACTGAAATCAGCTGAGGTGATATAGAACCCATGAGTACAAATTAAATGACATAGATGTCGTATGAATCGGGTTTCTCACCTTGAGGCAATGGTTGAGCATAGAGGTGAGCTTGTTGATGACCTTCCTATAGATCTTGAGGGCAGAGCCACCGACAGCATCCTCTAACGACATCTATGCTCATCGAAGTCGGTAGTGTTCTTCGTGCGCTGCTCAAGGCGAGCGGCGGACTTGATAAGAACTTTCTTGTCCACAGGCTTCAATGTGGCTCGTGTTGCTACAAGAGGAGCAGGGGCAACAGATATATAAATATACATTACTCAAATAATTTACACTCCAATATAATAGAGCCATCGCCCTTACCTTAAATATTTGCCTGCATGAACCATATAATACTACAGAAATTAGGCAAGTCAACACCAAATCCACAACATGGCGACATTATTCAACACTCACAAATGTACATATACATAACTAAGTTCACCAAGGATGTATATGCCATAGTTTGTTTATCCAACAAATCGACATTTTAAACAACCTTTGTAGCATATAACCTTTCTCTTTCTCAAGATATTGTCAGTTCAATTGAGGCTTAGTGCTTTATTGAAAGCTGTCACGTAGACCATCACTTTAACAAGGTCATACTAAATATGTTGCTATTAATGACTTTTCACATGTTGTATGATCCCTGGTATCTTCTATATTTAAATAGCTACCCCCTCTAACTATTTCTCTCAACATGCAAGCATGTCGCATCATCACATAACATGCATGCGAAAAGGCCCACCCCCACTACTTAATTTCCAAAGTTACATACAATCATCAACGTGCGGGGTGTCACCTAGTATATTAAACATCAGAATGCTACCAACATACTTAATTTCCGAAGTTACATACAATTGATTTCTTAAATTTTCTCAGGGTACAATTCTTCTAAAGATCACAGAAAAATACACAAGCATTAAAAACCATAATACATGACTTCTATTAGTTTTTGTGCCAGAATTAGAAACAAATCACTTCCATTCTTGTGTATCATGGCAAATTGGCAATGGCTCACCTCAGCTCGATGTCGTCCTCCGTCTTTGTGATGTCACTCCTTTTGGGTGTTGCTTCTACAATCATCAACGTGGTAAGCAGTGCTGCTGACCACAGTCCTCACAAAAAAGAGCAGCGCCTGGCATTCATGAACCTAATGACGAATCAAATCTGACATTTGTCAATTTTATCAAAATGTGGAGCATGAAACTACAGAATAAAATTATAAAATTCTTTCCATGAACCAAAAAAATATGGGCCTGTAGCTGGAGATGAATATATTCCAATTATCATAGCTGCGACTGAGAATTTGAGATAGATGACGTACTGACGTATGTGCCGGCCGACCGGCACCTCCGTGGAGAGTGGCAGCACCAACATGAATGATATTAACGGAGATTGGTTGGTCGCAACCTGGATGGGTTGAACACTCTCCCTCCCTCCTCCGCCTTGTCATCCTTGCTACTCGCGTTTGCCGTGACAATCGCACGCCTCTGGATCTTGGAGCTGCGTACATGCATGGAACTGAAAGGCAGGAGGAAGGCAGCAAGACAATCACGTTAAAGGGAAAACATCCCTTGTTGAAGTCTTTGATGTAATTCAGGTCCGACAACAATAATGCAAACCTTCACATCAAAGTTAAGGTATTAACAATTATTATGTAGAAACGTGTTTACAACAAAGTACTTCAATAGTGGAGCAAGCTGAGCAAAGTATCCCACTTATGCGGGATATGGATCGTTTTGCAAGGACACACATACAAAATATGTACAGAGAGGGCGATTGGGCTAAGAGAAAGGCAATGGCGGCTTACTGTGGGCTCGCATTTGCACGCGCGTTGCTCCTGCTGCATGGAGATGAACGACTCCTGCTTGGCTGAGACATGAAATCCTTTTCCTCTCTCCCCCTCTGCATCTGCAATTGTGCAATCTGTTTTCACCGAGAAAAATGCGCCAGGATCTGAACCTTGATCTAAATCCAAGGTGAATAGAATGTGACGAGATGGGTGGAGAGTAATTAGCACTAAATTATAGGGTAACCAACCAACTAATTTGTTTCTACTACAAGAAGATCAAGGGAGATGTAGGTATCAATAACATGCATAAAAGTATTTCTTAAAACTAATCATGCATAAAAAATCAGCTTTCAGTATTACATACTTCCACCTCCTTCATATGCTCTACAACTTTGCTTTTACTGCTAGATCAAAGTCTCAATTGTTTAAACCCAGTTTTGATTTTAAACATTTATATTCAGATTCTAGTTAGTAGTTCCATTAGCCAGAAACTAATTCTTCAATCCACACATCATTCACTGATCTCAGGAGTAGGTAGAAGTTTACCTCAAAGTGAAGACAAAAGATTCACATGACCTCATTAAATTCTTGGTCCAATATTCATCCTCCACTTCTTTTCTGTTTCTTCTCCATTTGTTATCGGCTAAGATGACGCAGTAACATATCGCGAGAATCTGCTCCTATGCTTCCCGATCCTCAATTCTTCTTTCCTTAGACCTTGCCTGATTTTTCATCTAACTGAGACGATCAAATAGCATCAGCTTTGCACAACTTGCAAATAAGATATGAACTACAGTACACCCATTTAATGAATGTGTTGATACAATAAACATGAGAACAGACATGGAGGAGCTCAGAACAGATCCCTGTGCTCGTTGAGCTCCTAGCTCTGGGAGTCGTCCAATGCAAATCAAGTGAAATTAGGAAGCAATGTTACTCGGATGTAAAAGAACAGTAGTAAAAAGTTCAGACGCCTTAGGTTGAAAAATAGAGATACTTCTAATCATAATTTAGCATGCAACCTAGAGTAGCCCATATGTTGAATATAAGTGCTTGCATTACCTCATAGCATTCTTTTTGATACTCATTCAGAAAGTTGGAGGCTATAACTGTCCAAAAAGATCCACTTCTCCTGAAATATTATACAAACATCACGCTGCTGGCACCCTGATTTTTACTGAAAAAATTTCTAAAACATCATTTTAAACAGGCCATCTCCAACATTTCCGCACAAATATATGGGCTATCATGTTGTAGGTCAGTGATTCGAGTTACCGAAAGAAAATACATCATGGTTTACAATTAAGAAAAATGTACCTGTAGCCATCCAAAAAATGTTAGCTATACATCTGTGCCATGTTAATTCTAAATCGATAGAACCCAATAGCAATTACCTTGAGTCTGTTTGGAAACGACAGCAGCTACCTTCACCAGCAGATAAAGAAAATACTTCTGTACTAACTGGAGGGCCAACTTCATGTACTATACTAAATGTTTTATAACTAAAACTAAAATGAAACTAATCTACTGGGGCAAATCACAGTACTTTGCTATATGCATATTAGTATAGTATGTATATCCCAGTGCTGCTGCTACCTTGCAAGCAGAGGCTTGCTTGTCCCGGTTTCAGTACGCCTGCATGCACTGATCGATCAGGTCTAGAGTTCAGTACATCTGCATGCCCTGAGTGGCTGCGTCTCTCGTATGTCTGCATGCATTGATTCGGGTGCTGCAAGATGGGGCGGGGCGGGGTGGAGGTGTCCTGTTGGCGGCAGCCACTTCAGTATGGTGGAAGACGGCGACAGCGTGAGACGCGATCCGGGTGACGGCTGCGGCGGATGCACAAGCACGGCAACGGAGAAGGAGATGGGCTCCGATGGCGGACGATCGGTGAGGCGAGGTCCTCCCGTTCAATGTGTGATTGATGCACGATTGATACGTGATTGATGCCATTGATTGGCGAGCGTGTGGGCCGCTCTGCGGGGCGTCACTGGAAATCCGCGACGGCGGCGGCGGCAGCTTGTCTCTGATCTCAACGGTGGCGAAGAGGGCCGCGAAGGCGGCTGGGGCGTCCTTGTCGATCGATGTAGGAAACAGATCGAGGGGAATGTGTTGTACATGGAAAGGTTGAATTCTGATTTGTGATTTTTGAATCTGTTGGGAATGTGTTGGCCAAGGTAATGAAGCAAAGAGAAACCAAACAACAACTCCTTCATTAGGAGTAGAGATATACCCGTGGCTAATTCTCCTTATGCAAACAACCACTTAGAAAAGGCAAAGGTCGATGCATTAGGAAAATTAAGATTTGGAATTGATTGTCATAAAACTAAATTTTATTGATTGGTAACGTGCTATCAATTCCTTCCCGTTTATAACGTGTCTAGTTAGGAAACTTTGGAAAGGTTAGGAAAGTTTTTATTGTGAAGGTAAAAAAAACAACTTGATGAGATATGGTGGTGGGATGTGAGACGAAAATAAATCGGACGAAAATAAACCAGACGAAAATAAACCAGACGAAAGTAAACCGTGGATGCAATCCTACCAACTCAGACATTAGGAGTAGAGAGTGATTGATGCACGATTAATACGTGATTGATGCCATTGATTGGCGAGGGTGTGGGCCGCTCTGCGGGGCGTCACTGGAAATCCGCGACGACGGCGGCGGCGGCTCGTCTCTGATCTCAACGGCGGCGAAGAGGGTCGCGAAGGCGGCTAGGGCGTCCTTGTCGATCGACGTAGGAAACAGATCGAGGGGAATGTGTTGTACATGGAAAGGTTGAATTCTGATTTGTGATTTTTGAATCTGTTGGGAATGTGTTGGCCAAGGTAATGAAGCGAAGCGAAACCAAACAACAACTCCTTCATTAGGAGTAGAGATATACCCGTGGCTAATTCTCCTTATGCAAACAACCACTTAGAAAAGGCAAAGGTCGATGCATTAGGAAAATTAAGATTTGGAATTGATTGTCATAAAACTAAATTTTATTGATCGGTAATGTGCTATCAATTCCTTCCCGTTTATAACGTGTCTAGTTAGGAAACTTTGGAAAGGTTAGGAAAGTTTTTATTGTGAAGGTAAAAAAAACAACTTGATGAGATATGGTGGTGGGATGTGAGACGAAAATAAACCAGACGAAAATAAACGAGACGAAAGTAAACCGTGGACGCAATCCTACCAACTCAGACATTAGGAGTAGAGAGTGATTGATGCACGATTGATACGTGATTGATGCCATTGATTGGCGAGGGTGGGCCGCTCTGCGGGGCGTCACTGGAAATCCGCGACGACGGCGGCGGCGGCTCGTCTCTGATCTCAACGGTGGCGAAGAGGGCCGCGAAG